TTATTTCGTTCTATGTGTTTGCATACCAAGCAGGAATTGACCTCGTTAATGTTTATGAAATTACATATTTAGAAAATATTCATGTTGCTTGTCCATATATATGATTACTATTCTCTTCAGGTTCCACGTAGAGATGCGCTCGGATTTGTTTCAAGACTAGACTTGCGCATCTTGAACAAAACCAGCTTCCAGATGCACTGTCTTGCTTCGACAAATCATTCTTGGCTCTATCAAAGAATCAACCACGTGGGGATGATATTTAAGCCCAAGTCACTATTTGTGTTCAGTACAAGATAAATGTTACTCTCCTTCGCATAACTAATTATTCATATATATATATATATTACCTTTTTAGGAGATTTTAACCAAATATAAAATTATCTATAATTTCTCTGCCCCGTGCAAGAAATCTTGAGGCTACAAACAGTTCGAGGCGCAGCGCATTAAGCGCAAAAGAAGAAATGGCAAGACTCTGAAGGCATCTAGCTTCACTGCCACTACTAGCAAAGCACCGCATAAACTACAAATGCACCCCAATCAAATGAAACATGGAAGTCCAAAACTATGGCTACTCCAAGCAGATGCTGGAGCTACTTTTATCAAAGGCACCAGCGAGCAAGCAAGAAAAATTAAGAGGACTAGTTTATCTCTGTGTCCAAAGAGGCAAATCGAACAAATCTATCGACCCACTTGCAAATTTGTCTCATTTATGCTCAGCTACGCTCAGTAGGTTATCGACCATTCAGTATGAGGTTTGTGATTTCTGTGACGCAAAGTTTTCTGCTCTATCGCCGACTGGTTGTATCATCTGTGGTATGGGAAGCATTAAATGGTCTGATACACTCGCTGGACATGAACTTGTAGCCACGCTGTTTGGCCAAATTTTAGGTACAAGACTATGTTTGGTTTTAGTCTCAAACTGGTTACATTTAAGAATAGTCGTTTTTGTACGTTTATTTCGTTTTGTTCGTCAGTATATTGATTTCTATCGCTTTTATTTCTTGTACAATTTTTAACGTTCACTTTTAATATGTCCACCAAATTTCTTTTTGTTCTCTTTTTCTTTTTGGTTTATCAATAAGTTCTTTCCCCTTGTCGGTGGTAGAAATCGTATGACTTTGATGACACTTTTATTTTGGTGGTATGCCAAAATACCGGTTAAGCTATGGATAACTTAGATGAAGGATGGCGACCAATCTTAATATCCAAAAATCAGGATATGGTCTGGCCCGACAGTTTCAATGTCTGAGCAGGTGTTGACTAGTAGTATTTTGGACTTTGGAGATGCAAGCAAAAACAGAAGCTCTGAGTATCGTACATAATTAATTTTGAACATCTAATATTTTTACCTAAAATTCAAATCATTGTTGATACGTCAGAAAATATTAAAACGGGATCAACTATAGGATGTAAACTTTAACGCCAAACAAATGAATTCTCAAATAAGAAGCGAAAGCGAATATTTAGATCTCTAGCAGATAACGTCAGTTTATTGATTTTGATATTAACAAAGAGACAAATAGAGCACATTCTAAATTAAACAAACACAACTCATTTATTAGACCCCTAGATCCATTAACTTTGTAATAGTAAAAGATGCTACGGTTAAATACATGAGTCATAGTTAGATAATTTATAAAACTTAAAAGAGTAATCATCTAGATATATCAGATATGTTAGATAATATGTTAAATCAAAGTGCAAGACGCAAAATAGATGCATGATCGATACCATATATTCTAAAAATAACAATGAAATTTTATCAGATAAATTGCAATGATGATTTCTCATCAATGGAAAAAATGAGACGAATAAAAAATGGAAGTATAGCTCTTTGTTTCAATTGTATTATTGCGTGATAACAAATAACAATAATAACGTGTGATATATACTTTTAATGTGTGAGCATCTCCTATATAAAACTTTATTTATTAATGTGTGAGTATGGGAGGACCCTTGAATTCCTACGATCCCAGCGAGGTCAGCGTCCTCATCTGCTCCGGTTTTACATCCGAACATGAGAGTGAGTGATCTTATCAACCAAGAAACTAAATCTTGGGATTTGGACAAGTTGGAAAATTATGTTGACGCTGCTGACATACCTTTTATAAGAAGTATGGATGTTAGCTCAACACATCGTAGAGACACGTTTTGCTGGAGCTACACAAGAAGTGGACAGTACACAGTTAAGTCTGGTTATTGGGTCGCTCGGAATATGTGGATGAAGGAGGACGATAATATAGTGGGTGAACCTAGTATTACAAAACTCCACGCACAAGTCTGGAAGGCACGGAACGACAAGTTGTTCCAAGGGATAGATAGAGATCCTCTAGAGCTAGCCCGGTATGCGGAGAGTGAGTGTCTTGCCTGGTTCCAAGCTAATGAGCCGGAAATTGTGTCATCACAAGAAAACATAGATGCTAGCAACCAGGTCATAAGCCTACGAGATATATGTTTGTTAGATGGTTCTTGGACCTCAACAGATCAATTCTCAGGTTGTGGTTGGGATTGGAAGGATAGAATGGGAAATAGTCAGTTGATGGGTTTGTGCAATGTAAGTAGGGTGAAGTCGGCTTTGCACTCTGAATTGGAAGCACTACGGTGAGCAATGGAGAATATGCTTCAACATTCGCCATGTCAGAGCTTTGGGATGGATTGCAAGGAACTGATAGCGATGCTCAAACACCCACATGAATAGCCAAGTTTTTCGGCGGAACTGGAGAAGCTCTTGACGCTGCGGATCTGCTTCCCAGATTTCAAGTTAATTTATGTGCTTAGGTCCAAAAATGTTGTGTTCGATTTCTTAGCTAAGACTGCGCGTTCCTTCTATCGCGATCAGATGTATGTTGGTTGTTCTATTCCGGTCTGGATTCCCAGACCACTTCAAACTTGAGTAATATCAGCCGTTTGTTGCCAAAAAAAAGAAATTTTATTTATTTTTAAATAGAATTAGGTATTACTAACAGTAATTTATTTTGAAGGGAATAGAATAATGAATAAATTAAAACACATCACTTTCTTTAAGAAATAACTTCATTTTTACTTTATTATAGAATAAAAATGAAATATGATCGGAGAATACTTCACTTTAAACTCTCTTTAGAGTAAAAAATGAGTTGAGTTTGAAAATTTTCCGAAGATAATGAGGCACAAACGAAAGTGGGTCAATTGCTCGTGGCAAACCAAACAACGGACAGAAGGTAGGTCAATTATTGCATTGTTTTTTTTTTTTGAAAAAGATTCAATTGTTGCATTGTTTTTTTTTTTTTTTTGAGATTTCCCACTTACGTGGATCATTCCTTTAGGTCCTGTCAGGCAGCGGTCCACTTCACCCGGGAGGGCTATACTTGGGCTGAGGACAAGGCCCAACACCCAGTACCGCATTTAGTGACAAGAACTGACAGTTCCCCCCGCCTGGCGTCGAACCCATGAACATAACAATTGGCTCACAAGGTCTTTACCAAACTGCTACCTCTTCCCGTCTCAATTGTTGCATTGTTGCAGATCATTTCATATAGCTTCTCTCTAACTATCCAAACCATTCATCACTCTATTGATCTTGTTATATAATTCTGCTTGTGAGACATTGTTACTTCTTATTTAGTGCTTTTTGTAACTTCCTACATATCTCTTTGTAATATTTATAAACACTGTCCAATGTTCATGGGCCCAAAAGGGAGAGAGAAATAAGATACGTATTGATCAAGAGAAAACAAAATAATAATGTAAATAAAAGAAAAGTAACTAGGTCAATTTGTTTATAGCATTCACTCGCCAAACGTCCACATGACAAAACACACGGCGTCATTTTTGCTTTTGTTGTTGTCTCATATTATTTTCTTTGTCTTTAGTGACCAAATCAACCACAGCCGTCAAAATTAGAAGAATATTCGTATATATGTACGAATTCTAATTAGGCTTCTTGGTGCACTACAAGAACATGGTTTACAATACAATAAGGATATGCTACTTTTAGATTTATGTTTTGCACTATTATTGTTATAGCCTTATAATTTTGATACTTCTTTCAAGATGTCTTTATTAGATCTCCTCCATAGTGAAGTTACTGTACAAACACTATAATAGACCAACTGGTTAGATAATTATTATTTTAAGACTAAAATACTAAAACCCCGTAAGGTTGCATCGGGTCATTACTGATTAATCGTCTGATAATTTATTGACTGTAGTACAAAAAAGGTTCTTCCTTTGTTGACACACTAACTCTTTGGCTAATGGAAAAACTGCACATTTTCATAGATTTCACTATTTAGAAGGTCACTAAATCAAAAACATGTATAGGCACAAATATTGACATATGACAGCCACCATGTAACTTCTCAACCGCGGCAGAAAAATTAACTAAACAACTGAAAGTTGTAAAGAGAAAAAAAAAAAAAAAAAAAAAAAAAGAAAGTTGTAAAGACATCCGTGTGTTGTTTGTTTAAAACCAAAATGTTTTACGTTATTTAATCTTATGTTATTCCTATCAAAAGATTTCTAAATAGTGAAAAGCGCCAAATAGCTAAAAAAAGCTGATTGTTTCCCTAATATGGAATTCTGTAGACCTTCCATTTATTCTAGCATTGTTAACCCTATTGAAACAAATATGGACGTACTAAATATATTCTACAATTAAATGTTAGAATACCTCAGCAATCAGCATTACTCATCATTACGTGCTTTAGATTAGATTATATATGTACTCATGGTAGCAAATACTAGTCCATACTAGTATACAATTACGATATTACAAGTACTATTAAACAATCATAAACAACAAACAATATCAGCATACAAGCTCAACATCAAGGGTTTCAAATATATATTAACGAACCATTTTCTTTTATTATTGATAAATCGAAACAAATATTATCCCTAGTTTTATTCATTGTTTGGAATTATGAATCCATCTAAATATTACAAATGGTGTATATATTGTAAAATAATTTAAAAATGCATATTGTAAAATAATGTATAATAAATTAAGCTAGAAACTATTAAGTTGTAGGCTCATCGTTCTTGGCAGCGTGACCAACTCCGGGGCTATGTCCAGGGGTCGTAGGCTTGAAGTCATCTCCTTTCTTATGACCCATACCTGGACTGTTTCCCGGAGTAGTAGGTGCGAAGTCCTCCGTAGTTCCGGTTTTAAAATGATCTTGACCGTCCATTGTAGGCGATTTTCTTTCTTCCCTGGGTGCCAAGTTATCTTTAAGCCCTTCAACATTCGCATTCCCTTTCTTGTGGCCCATGCCAGGACTGTGTCCCGGAGAAGTAGGTGCGAAATCGTCGGTTAATCCGGTTTTGAAATGATAATGATCGTTGGTTTTTTGCAGCATTCTTCGTTCCGTGAGCTTGAAGTTATCTTTAACATTTGCTTGTCCTTTCTTATGCCCCATCCCGGGACTGTTTCCTGGAGAAGTAGGTGCGAAATCGTCGGTAACTCCAGTTTTGAAATGATCTTGACCGTTGGTTGCCTGAACTTTTCTTCCTTCCGTGGGCTTCAAGTCATCTTGGAACCCTTCAACATTTGCATTACCTCTTTTATGTCCCATGCCAGGACTGTTTCCTGGAGAAGTAGGCACAAACTCATCTGTAGATCCAGCTTTGAAACGGTCTTGGTCGATTGTTTTCATCAACTTTCTTGCTTCGGTGGTGATCGGTGCTTGGTCAAATATTATCGAAATGATGATAGTTCTCACAATGAGAGCGAACAGCTTCATGTTTCCTCCTTTTTTTTGAAGGAAGGTTTAAGAGTTTGTATATATGTGTAGCTGAATGTGGAGTAAGAATGCCCCAAATATATTGTATTTATAAGGCCATGAGATTGGTTATGTTGCCATTCGCTAAATTTAAAATGTGTGGACAGTAACCACGTTGATTGATTTTGGACCGTCTATTTATTAATTTAAGAATAGTGATTTACACTACAAAGTGTTCATATAATTATACCAAGACCGTCTTAAAATCTTTACAGGTTTCTGTTTTAAAATGATAATACGTTCAAATATATTCAGTCACATGCAAATGAATTGCTAGCTGTTAGAAAAATAGAAATGTTCGACATTATGAATGTTACAATCGAATTTATCTCAAATTGTGAAAATAATTCACTATATATTTATCACCTCCGTGGTCTTTTCCACAAACATGAAGTCAGTGCAGTCTCTAAAGAGAGGCCAATAGATGCAATCAATATGATGGTCAAATCAAAACCAGACATGAAGTTACATTCTTCAAACAAAAATATTTACGGGTTACTTGATAGTTTCACAAATTTTAAATACAAAAGCTCTAAATTTAAAAATTATGTTTTACTGTATAAAACATCATTCATATTCAAGTCATAACAATATATAATCCATCTAATATCATCATCATTCATGTACCAAAACTCTTTAATCAGTTTTTTTTTTACTTTACGCTTACTAGTTTCTTTATATATCATTATATCAAAACACTAAAATACATACATATACATATATATATATATATATATATATATATATATATATAGTTTATATAAAAAATGGGGAGCCTAGAAATGTGGGTTCCATTGAAAATTTCAAAACCCTCTATTAAGTCTTGGGTTAAATTTTCTCATCCCTTATTTAATAAGTAAAAATCCCAGTATTATATATTTTTATAGCAGAAAATATATTAAATATAAAATTCAGCCCATATACTTTTGTTTACATTGTTAAACTATAAAAATATTATGCATATAAAAAACATTTTTATCATAAAATTCATAAAAACGTTTAGCCGGCCTTTTTCTACTAGTATATTTATATAACAAATATAGTAATTAGCATTATAAGATTTTGTGTGAGATTTCCATTTGCACATGCAAATATATATTAGATTATTTCTTTCTTCTTTTGAAACAAGTTGGGGCACGCGTTCATATTTTGTTGCTCGTGTAAATCAGAATAGAAAAATGCTATAACAGACTAACAATGAACGATGAATATTGCCTGTCTTAAAGGAGATTCCAAAATGTTGGTCGATGGCTATTTCTGTTGAAGGTGAAGTATACAATATTACAAAAGCCTCTTATAGTGCTCCATTGTTGAATATATAATGGAAATGATTACATTTGCTTTGTAAGTTATATTAATAATCTAAATTAGTTGGTACATTGTTTTGAAAGGAATTCAAAGGCTAAGAAAAGCCGCCCTTTGGACGCCACAGAAATGCACAAGGTTACACAATTTTACACGAGTTTAAAGAATACTAATGATTTGACAAAAGATATTCTTAATTGACTTTTGTCCCCTTTATATGGTCCAATATAAAAATGTAATACGATTCTATGTATGTTTGACTATATATTGCATACTATTGAGATTTCTAAATGTATATTATATCTTTACATCTAAGCATAAGATGATCTCAGTCACACTCACAGTTACAAGATCTTCCACTACCCCTACAAAAAAGTTGGTTCCCATCAATTTTTGTGTTACTGTATAGGCTTCGCAGTCAGCCTTCAATATTTTGTGATGTTGTATACTTCACATTCAACAGAACTATCAATCGAAGAATGTTTTGAATTTCCTTCAAGACACGCGATATCGCTCGTATGCAGTATTTTATTTTCTTTTTTTTTTGGTGGTCGCATTGTTCAGTTTTAATTAGCATAAATAAATTCTTAAACAAAATTTGAAAATAACATGACATAGTTCACTCTTATACAGTATATACAACTAAACAAAAACATAAATTTTAATCAATATTTTAAACTACATATCAGTTCAACCAATAATATTAGATCATGAATCAATACAGATTTTGCTGAGTTTTACAAAGATTTTAGTTAGCATTGTAGCCAAAATTGGTTAGTAACTGGATGCTGGATTTACCGGTCCGAGCACTAATACGGATCTCATGAACAAAAATGTTAAAGACTTGTTTTTAAACATTGATCGTATATCAGTATATGTGATATGGAGAAGAAAAAAAGTCGATGCCAGTCTTCAATTGAGGAGACGAAAATCGCTATATGAGAACCACTTGATTGACTACTGTATGTGTGTAACGATGTTATTGTTTACATTTTCAACTCGCATGCAGGGGCGAAGCCAGAGAGAAAATTTAGTGGGTGCATAAAATAGCTAAAATGTGTTATATGTATATATATGTGTGACATGCTTGGGAATGTGGGTGTGGGTGCCCTTGAACTCACGACCAGAAGAATTAGTGGGTGCATGCACTACTAACTTAGCTAGTTTAGATACCAATGCCATGTAAAACATGATAAATGTTAAAACTTTATGAGTGCAAAGGCACCCACAACAACCAACGTGGCTTCGCAGAACATGTGTCTGGACAACGCCGCCATGCTTCCAAAATATACCATTTCCAAATTAAATAATAATGACAAAACACACAAATTTAAAGAGGGAATAAAAACAAGACAATATATAGAAAAAAAACAAAGTGGTCAATAGATTCACTAGAACAATGTCAAAGGCACCATCACCATCAACAAAACCACTATATGGCCCCTACCAGTCACTCACCACTCCCTTTTATTTGTTTTTGGTTTTCGCCAAGCCTTTTTTGCATATGTAGGACACGAAATATTAAAGGATACTTACTGTATATCATGTTTGTTTAAGAAATTAATCAATATTGAAGCATATACTTAACTAGACATCACATCTCGTACTTCTTAAAGTTTGATTCCTATGCGTATCTCTATTTAATCTCAAATTTGAAAAAAAGTTTGAGGAGATACAAAATAAGATTTGAAAAAGGTATGATACTTACCATCATAATTCATTTTTATTATATACAAGTATATAGACTTATATATTATGACATATGAATGATGTAGCTGGCACTATAATCGTCCACTTAACCAAGAACTATACTATTACCTATTTTATATATTTCTTCATAACAAAAGCATTACAGTACTGGTAGAAGAATGCGCATGCATATAAATATACACACTTGGTATTGCGGAAATTAAAGGGGTATAGTTGTATAAAAGTGAGAAATATACTGAGATGACATGTTGAAAGTGAAAGAAAGCTTTATACTTTGGTTGGTTCCTGCACACAAGGAAGTCCCATAACGGACCCCACCGTAGACTCCACCGGCCAGGCTTCTATTTATACATACAATCAAATACAATTAACAATTTTTTTTTTCTTTAATTTCTATTTTAAACTTAAGATTGAAGATTTTAATGTTGATCTTTACATATCTACTAATCGTAGAATTCAAATTTGTATGCTGAATCGTAAATATTTGAAAAATTTACATGGTTATGTCGAATATATAAAATCAAAAAAAAAAACTTGGAAAGAAAATAAATGAGAAAATATCCGTTCAAGATTTTTGTTTGATTAATTCTGTGAATAGATAATATTACAATCTTATGTCCTACATTTATAATGTTTCAAAACCCCAATTAGACTAGAAAACCAGATCTCTACATATCTACTAATTGTAGAATTCAAATTTGTATGATGAATCGTGAATATTTGAAAATTTACATGGTTATGTCGAATACATAAAAACAAAAAAAAACTTCGAAAGAAAACAAATGAGAAAATATCAGTTCAAGATTCGTGTTTGATTAATTCTGTGAATAGATAATATTACAATCTTATGTCCTACATTTATAATGTTTCAAAACCCCAAATGAGAAAATATCAGTTCACGAATCTTAGACTAGGAAACCAGATCTTTACATATCTAGTAATTGTAGAATTCAAATTTGTATGATGAATCGTGAATATTTGAATATTTACATGGTTATGTCGAATACATAAAAACAAAAGAAACTTCGAAAGAAAACAAATGAGAAAATATCAGTTCAAGATTCGTGTTTGATTAATTCTGTGAATAGATAATATTACAATCTTATGTCCTACATTTATAATGTTTCAAAACCCCAATTAGACTAGAAAACCAGACCATCCCCCCCCCCCCC